TAGGGCATCTGCGACCCGATTAGTCTCACCCTTGATGTGCTCAGTGGTGAAACTAAACTCGGATAGGTCGCGCCACCAGCGAGCCTGTCGAGGAGTGAGCTTCGACTTTGTCAGAAAAGCCTGGACAACAGAGTTGTCCGTGCGCACCGTGAATGGTGCCCCGTGCAGGTAGTGACGCCAGTGCCGAGCGGCATAAACTACTGCGAGAACCTCACGTTCATCAGCAATGTAATTTATCTCGGCGGTGTAGTTTATCTCTGCGAGAACCTCACGTTCATCAGCAGTGTAGTTTATCTCTGCGAGAACCTCACGTTCATCAGCTGACGAGAGTAGAAGGCTATCGGACAATCACTTGAGAGAGACTCGACAGTGCCGTCCTCGGCGATGGTAGGAGAATAGTCAATAGAAGGCTCGTCAGTAGCTGGACGAGTAGGCGTCAGTCGGGAAGCAGTGGTAGGGGTAGGTGGTCGGAAGCGAGGGATACGAGGATGAGAGGAATCAGGAGAGGAGGGGAAGACCTGAGAAAGCACAGCTCCTACAGCGAAGTCTGACGCATCGGTGGTAAGGATAAAAGGGCAGTCAAAATCGGGTAGGTGAAGAACCGGTGCGCATGTCACCGCCTTCTTGAGGGCGAGGAAGGCGTCCTCGTGGAGGGGTGTCCAAGCCCAGGGTGGGTTCTTCTGGAGGAGGGTGGAGGTAAGGACGTAGGAATACCTAGTGTATCCCCGGATGAAGTTACTGTAGTAGCTGGTCAGGCTTAGGAAGCTGCGAAGCTGCTTGGCGGATGTGGGAGCGGGCCACTCCGCAATAGCAGTGATCTTCGCGTCGTCCATGTAGAGACCCAGGTCAGACACGTAGTGTCCTAAGAAATCCACTTTGTGCTGGGCAAAGCGGCACTTGCTCAGCTTGGCGTAGAAGCCATGTCTGCGCAAGCGGTCAAGGACTTCGCGGAGATGTCTGAGGTGTTTCTCAAGGGTACGACTATAGACCAGGATATCGTCGAGGTAGACGAGAACGTACTGCTCCAAGATGTCCCTGAAGATGTCGTTCATCGCCCTCTGAAAGGTAGCGGGAGCATTAGTGAGGCCAAATGGCATCACCGTGAACTCGTAGTGGCCGAATCACGATCGGAATTCGGTGTTCGGCTGGTCGGCTGTAGCGACGCGGATCTGATGGTAATCGCTACGAAGATCAATCTTCATAAAGAAGCGGTTGTCTGCTAGGCGGTCGAACAGCTCATCGAAACGAGGCATGGGGTAGATGTTCTTAACCGTGTAGCGGTTGAGACCGCGATAGTCGATGCAGAGACGGAGAGTTCCGTCCGCTTTGCGAGCAAAGAGGACGGGCGCACCCCACGGGGAGTTGCTGGGTTTAATGAAACCCAGTCTCAGGAGCTCCTCAAGCTGACGCTTGAGTTCAGTGGCCTCGGGGATCGAGAGTTTGTAGGGTGCCTGGTGGTGAACACGATAGTCAGGCACAAGCTGAATGGAGTGTTCGACGTCACGCATCGGTGGGATGCCGGCGTACGAGAATGACGCTGGGAAAACGTCGTGGTACTCTCGGATGAGGTCACGAACTGCAGGCTCCAAGTCAGCCGTATATCGTGCGAGTTCCTCAGTGTCAGCGTCAACGCGCGATGACGAGGTGGACTCGACGGACGGCGGAGGGACGAAAGTAGAGATGGGAGCCATGGAGATAGAGGGAGGATATGGCTCCAGAGGGATGAGCTCGGCGTGGGGACAGGGTGGATTATAGTGTAAGAGATCCGTCACGTCCATCATAAAGAAGGTGACGTTGTCCTGTCGAATGAAGTGAGCGAACTGCCGAGGCGAGGTGACAGTGATAGAGGGAGATGGTGTGGGCACTGAAGGTTCCGGGGGAGGAGGATCGGGGCGTGGTATCACCGTGGTACCTATGAAAGGTACGCGATACGTCTGTCCACACTTCGTTTTGAGAACGAGAGTGTTGGTCGCCCAATCGGCCTCGGTGCTGCGGAACCGACGAGACCACGGAGTGCCGAGAATGAAGTCGTATCCCGTCTCCATCACATCGAAATGTGCAGAGGAGCGGTGGCGACGAGACGCCCGGGAACGATCAGTCGGCTCGAGAGTGAGGAAGAAGGGGAGGTCAGTGACCATCTAATCGAAGAAGCGCTGGGTCTTGTCATCCCCTAGGGTAACGGAAATGGGAGTTGGAGACCCTGTCATGGGTAAGCGGGCTTCCTTCACCACACGTGGGTGAATGAAGTCGCCCTGAGAACTGGAATTCCACAGCGCTTAGTACACCCTCGTGGAGGTCCCGAGTCGTACTGGGATGATCGGGAGGGTGCGATCAGGGTCAGAGAGGATGGCGAGAAGGCGACGCAGTGCAGCGACATGGAGGGTGAGTCGCTCCTGACGAGCCTGGAGCATGCTCAAGTCCAGAAGAGAGGACACAACGTCCTCGCGAGTTGCAAGCTGCTCGCTGCAACGGGCTGAGCGAATGGCTCGACGCGTCGGTAGTCGCGGCGGGGAAGGAGGGGAGACGGTGGTCTGCGGAGGCGCAGACGGTACTGCGACAGGGGCTGAGTACACTCTGTCGAGTCCTGCGATACCTCAACTCCAGTAGCGAGAGGGGCGAACCGCGACGGAGATGTCGGGAAACCCACTACCGAGGAGGGCGCAGGTGTACACTGCACCGTGGCTAGGAGGCGCCGTGGGGACGTGAGGCGTCGGGGGGGGACTGAGCACGACGCTGACGAGAAAGGTTAGCGTAGTGGCGGTCGAGGGCGGTAGTGTAAGGGTACCGCGAGGAGGTATGACCGTCCAAGCGGCAGCGCTAACACCCACGCCGACCCAGAATAGCCGCGCGCTCCTCAGCGGAAAGGACACCACGAGGAGGGACGAAGCCCTGAGGGAGGTCCTCCTGAGGGACCTCGGGGGGCGACGCGCCAGCGTGACCGGGGCGGCTGCGTGCCCGAGAGAGGGCGGAGAGCGCGAGTTGAAGACGCTCAGCTGCAGGGAGGGTAGAGTCCTCCAAGTGATAGTGGACGACCTCGCAGAGATCAAGGTCGTCGCTGTGGTCGCCCTCATGTGACAGTGGGGCAACAGCGTTCTGATCACCATACTCCAGCGCGCTGAAGCGACGCGAGAAGTGGCGGCCCTACTGCGTGGAACGGTGGGGGCGACCACTGAAAGGGGAACGACGTTGGGAAGTGCCGTGAGAGGAGGAGGAGGCGTAGCCCGTGCGCTGGGGCTGGGAGGAGGAGGCAGGGTGAAGACGGGCTCGCATCCGCTGGTGGTCCCTGGTGGCCTCGTAAGCCTGTAGGGCCGATGTGAACTCGTACCGCCATAGCTCGGACCGGTACTCAAGCGGAAGGCTGGCCAAGAAACGATTGATAAGGGAAGCCTCGGGGAGGAACGCCACGTCGCAAACGAGGCGCGCGTCCTGAAAGACCTGGATGTGGCGATCCTGGCCGGCAGCGCCACCAGAGCCGGACCAGCGTGTAGTGACGACACGCTCGAAGGCGTCAATCACGTCGTATCGGGCTCCGAAGCGATCCTCGAGGAACGCCTGGAAATCCACGAAGGTCGGAGTCCGACCCTCACGAAGGGAGTAGGCATAGAAATCCTCCCAGGCCTCGAAAGGACCGCCACGCAGGCGCGTGGAGAGGTGACCCACCCACGTCTCGGGTGTGGCGCCCATGAGCTGGAGTGTGCGGGTGGCAGACTGCAGCCACCGAGACACACGTATGCCTGTACCGTCATACAAGGCAATGTCCGACAAGCGGATGAGTGGTGCGCCACCGTTTTGGCGGCGAGGGGATCGACAAGCGAAGGCTTGTGCCACGGCTGAGTAAGTCGGCGCAGGTCCTGGAGAAAGGGGCGCAACTGATTGTGCGCTCGGGCCGCATGGGGGAGCGGCGGTGGCAACAGCGGCAGGCTGCGAGGGTGCTGCGGTAGAAGAGGTCGCAGCAACCGCGGGAGTAGGAAGAAGGTAGGAAGGAGTTGTATAGGGTGCAGGGCGCGGAAAGCGAGCCTGCATGGGAGGAAGGGTAGAGGAGGTAGGGGGTGCGCCCGAAGGCGCGGCCACCTGTGAGGGTGGGGGTGGTTGAAGGCGTAAGAGGGCGAGGTCGGCCCGGAGCTGGGCAATCTCGTCCGCGAGACCTCGAACGTAGGTCGATCGAGGGGTGGCAGGAGGAAGAGTGGAGGGGGTGGGTGCACAAGCGGCGCGGGGCATCCCAGAGGGGGGAGAGCCAGGTGGCGCTGCGGTCGTGCGAAGGGGAGGGAGAAGCGGGGCACCCGGAAAAGCTGAGACCATGGTAGCGGGTTGTTGTACCGTGGCCGTAGTGACCGGGATCTGGGCGGGTGCGCCCGTAGACTGAGGGGGGGCCTGGCTCGTGGCGGCCGTCGTGCTAGGGGCGTGGACAGTCACCAAGATGGCCGGGTCAGTGGCAACGGAGGAGGAAGCTCCGCCGTGGCCACCTTGTCGGAGGACGGAGGACCCAGACTGGGAGCCAGGAGATGACAGACACGCAACGCCCTGGAGTTGCTGCATGCCGGCGGCAAGGGTCGCCACCTGCGCCTGTAAGGGGGCGAGGGTCGCGAGTTGCGCCTGGATGGGCGCAAGGGTCGCGAGTTGCGCCTGGATGGGCGCAAGGAGGGAGGTGAGGAGGGTGTGTAGATCCCCCTGGGGCTGATGGCCCTGGTCCGCCGGCACGGGTGTGGAGCCCGATGCCGTGGTTATCGCCGTGTCGGCAGCGTGTGACGCACCGTCGGCCATGGGGAGATGACGGACCGGACTGGAGGGGGCCGGAAGAGGTCCGCGTGAGCGGAGGGCGTAGGGGGAAGTCCGCGGTAGAAAGCGGCGAACGGCGCTAGCAAGGCTAACACAAGCGCCGTCAAAGGGGGAGGGGTGGTTCGGGTCCAGGGTGCCCGAAGAGGACGGGGAAGTAGGGGGGGTTTGAGGAACCCTAAACCCTACAAAATCCCTAGGAAAACCCTAACCGAGGTTTAAGTGGCTAGGGTAGGGTACCGGTGACCTAATCAAGAAAGTAAAATAGCAAGCACGGGGGGGGGGAGACGGGAGAAAAATAAATAAACAGCGAGATTTCGAGAGAAAATAAAAATAAATAAAAAAATAAATAAATAATAAAAATGATTAAAGAAATAAGTAAAGAGATGTGAAGGGAAACAATATTTATTTTTTTTTGAAATTTTCGGCGGCATTTCCCTACCCCCTCACAGGGTCAAGAATGTGCCAAGGGAAAAGGAGAGACCAAGGTGAGCACACTAGAGATGCCGCAAATAAAATAAAAAAAAATTCAGAAAATAAATAAAAAAATAATAAATAAATAAATAAGTAAATAAGTGTGTGAGGAGGTGGGGAGGAATGGGTTATCTGATTTTTCAAAATTTTTGGCAGCATTTCGTTACCCCCATGGGGTCGAAGTGTGCCGAAAAGACTAAGTAAGAGAAAATCAGAAAATTTCGGCAGCACTTCGTTACCCCCACGGGGTCAAAACGTGTGCCAAAAGCAAGAAAGGCTAACACCTAATCAGATTTAGGGTTGCCGTCAAGAATTTTCAGAATAAATAAAAATTAATAAAATAAATCAGAAAATAAGAAAAGAGGGTGGGAGAGAAGATAATTCGGAGTTTTTGGAAAAGAAAAGACAAATCAAAAGGAGGATAGGGGAAAAAAAGAAAAACAGAAAAATTCGAAGTGGGGGGAAATGGGAATGAAAAAGTAAAGGAGAAGAGAAGGAAATAGGTGGTGGGGGGATGAGGTGGTGGTAGTTGGGGGAGAGGAGGGTTGGGAAAAGGTGGAGAGAGATTAAGAAGGAAGGAGAAAAGAAGGGAAGAAAATGAGAGATGAAGAAAATAGAGTAAAAGAGCGGGTGGTGGGGGAAAGGTGGGGTGAATAAGAGGAGAGAGGAGAGTAGGGAGAGTGGGTTAGTATAGGGAGAGGGGAGAAAGGAGTGATACCTGGCCCTTGGTGTCTCCAAGGGCACAAGGTACACCAAGACCAGGAGGGTCTTGGTCTTCGCTGCAACAGCCAGTTGGAGGAGAGAGGGGCTGAGATCTTGATCAGCCCCCAGCAGCACTTCTGCAGATGTGCAGATCTAGGGTCTGCATTGTGAGCAGGCCCTCACCACTGTAGAGCAGCCCCCTTGAGCAGGGGGGTCTTCAG